GTGAGGACGAGGGCGTGAAGTTGTCGCTGAGGACCAGGGTATGAGGTCGGTGAGGACCAGGGTATGAGGTCGGTGAGGACCAGGGTGTGAGGTCGGTGAGGACCAGGACAAGGACAAGGATGTGCTGTCAGAACTGAGAAGCTGGTAGCAGGACGCTGGCCCTTTGGGTGACTCACCTTTTGACACCACAAATGGGGGGTTCAGCACAGCCTCCACAGTCTCCTCCAGCTCACAGAAGGGGTTCTCCTCAAAGATCAGGGTATACAGGGTGACTCCCAGGGACCACATCTCCAGCTCCGGGCCTTGGTACCTGCGTGGAGCAGAAGAACCGCATGGTGTTGCACAGATCACAACAGCACTGCATGTGGGTGCAGCAGAAATCCCGTCACCAGACGGTGCCCACAGCTCGGGGAGCAGCAATCAGATGCCTCAGTCCCTGAGAAGGAACCTGGGTGACGCTCTGGGATAAGCAAGGTCGGCGGTTCAAAGCCGCCCACACTGCCCAGGAAAGCTGAAGCCATCTGCTCCTGTAAAGCGCAGCAGACTCGGGGCCTCTCTGAGTCAGAGCTGACCAATGGCAGTGGAGAGCCCCTCAGGCCTGTCCAGGGTGTCCCTGCTCTGTCGGCAACATCACCTATGAGGAAGGGTCCAGTGGCAAACCCTCCACAGCTGGATGCTGGACGCGGCCAGCATAACACCGCTCTCCTGGGCTCGCTCCTGATTCCTGCCGTCAGACAGCGGACTAAAGTCAAATCTACTCTTCCGGGGAGAGTTCCACCCTGAAAACAAGTAGCCCAAACCTTATCTTCTTTTTCTTAATGTCAGGCTCTCTGAAACTTCAAACGGCAACAAGAGATGAGAAAGTGATGAAACAGGTTCCTCTAGCTACTACCTGCCTTCCTTTGACCCTCTGCCTTGGCCAGCTTGCCGGCCCTTTATCATCCCAAACGTTACCTTTTGTCACGAACACCCTCATCACAAAAGGGGCACACTGAATGCATTTCCCACCGACACCCCCCATGCTGGTACCGTGCCGGAGGACACGTACGGGTTTCCCATGAGAACCTCGGGTGCGCAGTACTCGATGGTCCCACAGAAGGTGTAGAAGAGCTTCCCCTTTTCCAGGTAGGCGGCGGAGCCAAAGTCGATGAGCTTGATGGTGAAGTCTTCCGCGATGACGATGTTCTCGTCCTTAACGTCCCGGTGCACGATGCCCTTGGAGTGCAGGTATCCTACCGCTGACACCAGCTGGAACCAAGTCACACAAAAGCTTAAGGCGACAGTTCCAGTGACCCAGGCATTGAAAACACGTCAACAGGAAAGGAGAAAAGAGACAGCAGACATGAAGAACAAATAAACCCAAAACGGCGCTGGAAGAAGTACAGCCATGGCACTCTTTAAACGCCAGGATGGCAAGACTCCGCCACTCATACTCCAGACACAGTATCAAGAGGGACCTGCAGAAGGACATCGCACTTGGTAACGTGCAGGGTCCGCGAGACAGAGACAGACCCTCAGTGAGGTGGACCGGCACAGTGGCAGCATGCGGCAGGGGTTGCTATGAGCCGGAGCCTACTAGACGGCACCTGACACCAACAATCCTATTCGGACCGATCCAATGACAGGAAGGACGCCTGGGTGCTGAAGACACACTCCAGTGCACAGGGGAGGCCCGGTGGGCTCCCAGCGGGCGGCACACACACCAACAGGCAGGAAGTACACTGGGACCCGAGGCTCACTCATCAGAGGCGCTCAGCATGTTGAGGGAGAGGAAGGCCCCTCCCCTGTGGACGCCCCTTGTCCACCAATGCTCAGCACAAGTGGCTCAGCAAGGTAGGGCCCTGGGGGAGGGCACTGTGTCCTCCTTGCCTGGATCAAACCCCCAGTGCGGTGGCCACTCTGTGAGTGAGGGACAGAGCGGGCAGCAGGAACCGAGCCCCCACCTCCTCCTCCAGGGCGTCCTTGTGGACATGGATCCCAGCCTGTGTGGCACCGTGGTGGACGTGGACAGGGGAACATCAGCACAGCCGACCACTGCCTACCCAGAGCTGCAGGCACCAGGACACATCTCAGACCGCACAGGTCCACAAAAGCAGCCTTTCAATAACGTTTCAGTAAAACTGCTGGCTCAGCCGAGTTTGGACATCGGCTCTGCCAATCACCATGCCACCTTCATGAATGTGGTCAACCACCACCACCTGGGTCCTCACAGGCAGCAATTCACTATCCACCTGAACATGTGTGAGCCGGAGTCCTAGGGTGGCACTGTAGGGTATGCACTGGACTGCTAACCATAACGTTAGCAATTCAAACTCAGCAGCCAACCTCAGAGACCATACACAAGGTCGTTATGTGTCAGAACCAATTGAAAGGTAACAACATCTTTGAGTCAGAAGGGATAGCAAATGCTGGGCTAGCTGAGCTCAATTAATGCATTTGTAAAACACATGCATGTATATTGGTATACATGCACACTACAGACATGTAAGAACATACACACATACAGACATGCATGTATATGTGCACGTGACTATACCAACATAGCTACATATAGAAACAAATACATATGAGGGGGCTTTGAAAAGCTCATGGGAAATGGAATTAGAAGACCTTGCTTTCCCCACGGATACGCTGACCCCCCGCCCGTGCTCCTGTATATGTCAGGAGACAGAAATCGCACATCAATGTGAACAAAGTTTCCTCGATGTTACTGAACGACCACCAAGAGAAGCGATGCCAGGAGCAGCTGCCCATGCTGCGCACTCAGCGGGCTACGCAGAAGCAGCCCCACAGCTGAGGCGGCTCACTGAGAGCAGCATTAGCTACACACCTGCTTACCTAACGACATACCTTACGCATCACAGTAAACTACCACACTGCTATAGGATAAGCTCTGGACCACAGGTTGTTTTGAACTGCAAAGTCAGCAATTCAAGCTCACCAGCTGCTCCTTAGAAATCCTACATGGGTCGCTATGAGTCAAAGCTGACCAGATGGCACTTAACAACAACAACAAACAACCTAAGTATTTCTAAAAATGTGAGTGTATATACTTACTATGGGGCTAGAGGGTTTTTTGGTAAAAAATGTGAAAGTGTAGAACATTACAATTGCCTCTAAAAGCAGTCTGAGCATGTTCAGTCCTCCACTTGTCTGTCCTTGAATACTGCTGTTGTTGTTGTGATCCAGTTGGTTCCGATTCATAGCAACTCTGTTTCACAGGAGCACCTGGTGGGTTTGAACTGCTGACCTTGTGGTTAGCAGTCCAGTGCTGAACCTACAGCGCCACATATCCCACCTGAATTTAGACAGCACCTCAAGAACAGAGTTGATGCATTAGACACTAAAGACTGACGAGCAGCAGAGCTGTGGGATGCCATCAAGATCACCCAGGAAGAAAGCAGAAGGTCTTTAAAAGACAGGAAAGGAAGAAAGGCCCAAATGGAGGTCAGAAGAGACTCAGAAACTTGCTCTCGAAATGATGAAGTCCAAGAGCTGAACAGAAAACTGCAAAGGGCAGCTCGAGAAGACAAAGTCACGTTATTAAAGTGAAATGTGCAAAGGTCTGGCGTTCGAAAGCCAAAAGAGAGGAACACATTCAGCATTCCTCAAGTTGAGAGAACTGAAGAAAAAATTCAAGCTTTGGGTTGTGATATTGAAGGATTCCCTGGGAAAAATACTGAACGATGCAGAAAGCATCAAAAGAAGATGGAAGGTGGGCAGTCATTGCACCCAAAAGAAATGGTCAATATTCAACCATTTCAAGAGGCAGCATACGCTCAATAATCAATGGTACTGAAGGCATTGGCAAAAAACAGGGCTCCAGGAATTGATGGAATACAAATTGAAACCTTTCAAATAATTGATACAGCACCAGAGGTGCTCACTTATCTATGCAAGAAATTTGGAAGAGGGTTACCTGGCCAACATACTGGGAGAGATACAAAGAGAAGTGACCCAACGGAATGTGGAAATCACTGAACAATATCATTATCAGATGCAAGTAAAAGTTTGCTGAAGAGCCTTCAAAGACAGCGGCAACAGTACAATGACAGAGAAAAGACAGAAACTTAAGCCAGATTTAGAAGAGGATAAAACTGGCAATATTACACGATCTTGGCTGAAAGCAGAGAATGCAAGATGTTTACTTGTGCTTTACTGACTATGCAAGGTTATCAACTGTGTGGATCGAGACAAATGTTGGATAACATTGCAAAGAATGGGTATTCCAAAATACTGCACTGTGCCCATGAGGAACCTGCACATACACCAAGAGACAGTCATTCAAACGGAACAAGGGTACACTAAATGCTTTAAAATCAGGAAAGGTGTGCACCAAGGCTGTGTTCTTCCCCCACACTTATTCAATCTGTATGCTGTGAACGTAATCCGAGACACTGGATTATGTCAAGAAGAATGTGGCATCAAGATTGGAGGAAGAGTCATTAACCTGTGATATGCAGAGGATACACCCTTATTTGCTGAAAGTGAAGAGGACTTGAAATAGTTACAGATGAAAGACCACAGCCTTCAGTACTGACTACATTTCAATGTAAAGAAAACAAAAATCCTCACCACTGAATCAATAAATAACATCAAGATAAATGGAGAAAAGATTGAAGTGGTCAAAGACTTCCTTTTGCTTGGATGTATGATTAACATTCATGGACGCAGCAGAGGAAAATCTGCTGCACAAGACCTCTTACAATGCTCAAGAGCAAAGATGTCAGTTTGAAGATTAAGGTGCACCTGACCCACGCCATGATATTTCAGTAACCTCAAGTGCATGTAAAAGTTGTACAATGAACAAGGAAGACCATAGAAGAATCAAGGCATTTGAATTACCGTGTTGGCAAAGAATATGGAAAATACCATGGGCTGCCAGGAGACCAAACAGATCTGTGCTTAAAGAAATACAGGCAGAATGTTTCTTAGACGGGAGGACGGGGAAACTTCGTCTCTCAGACTTTGACCATGCTATCAGGAGGAATGAATCCCTGGAGAAGGACATCAGAGCTGCTAAAGGGCGATGGACTGACACCGTGGCTGCAACAATGGATTCGGACTTTAACAGCCGTGCAGACAGCACAGCCACTGAGCCATCAGTCGGAAAGACGGTGTGGCCGGCACAGGACCAGGCAGTGTTTGATGCTGCTGTAAGTCAGAACCAACTCGACAGCACTACACCACCTTTACAAACAGATTCTGTGTGTCATGAAGATTGCAGAAACAAGTCTTAATTAATCATCCAACGTAGGAAGAAGGGAGGGGACGTTCTTACAGCAGAATCACGTTGCTCGAAACTTATACTTAGGTATCCAAGAAATATAAGTGCAGAAACAGGGATTTCTGGGAGCGTATTCCTCTAAGGAAGAAATGTTCACTTATGGAAGCTAATTAGAAATCAAATCATTGCCAGAATTGATCAAAGAGAAAATCTGTGAACTGCTCATGTGACAGTCCCTTTCACAGGAGACAGAAACCGTCTCAGATGGAACCACCTTCTCCTTATCCAAGTCCGTCTGTCTTTCACTCTCTCCCAGTTTTCTGAGCACACCCCACCCCAATAACCAGCAGACCAATACCAACACAGAAATATGAGGATGAGTCAAAAATTATCCACATTCCAGTTACATTAAAATGCCCAGCTGATAACAACACTGAGCGTGCACATGAAATGATTTTGTGGACCAGATGAGTGACATGGATCATGTGGCAGATCATTCGCATATCAGCCCTGGCTCTGCCTATACAATAATCCACGACAGACTTGGGTTTCGAAAAGTTTGTGCAAGATGGGTAAGGAAACAACCCACGGAAGAGCATAAATAGAAACAAACAAAATTTGGACCTATCCTCGAAGGAAGGTCAAAGTTCCTTTAAAAAAAACTTGTGACTTGTGACGAGACATGGATTCATCACTACGAGCGTGAGAGTAAAGGCACAGTATGGAATGAAGACATTCTCCATCACCGACCAAGAAAGCATCCAAATTCAACCATCAGCTGGAAAACTGATGCTGACAATCTTCTGGGTGTCTTAAGGGCCAGTGTTGGAACACTATCAGGAAAAAGGTTCAACAATCAACACTGATCGTTACAGAGAGAGGCTCACTGAAGTGCTGAAGCCCGAATTTAGGATTAAACACAGAGGACTGCTAACCAAGGGCATTGTGATCTTGCACGACAATGCATGTCTGCACACCTCTGCCCACAATGCGGACACAGCTAAAGCATCCTCCCTAAAGTCCTGATCTTACTCCATCGGACTTTCACCTGTTTGGTCCCCTGAGAGCAGCCCTTTGAGGATAAAGATTCACCTCTGATGAAGAAATAAAGACAGCGGTGCATTCAGCCTAGCACATTTTTTAATAAGGAAATATGAAGGCTTCTTAACAGACACACAGAGTATTGAAAAGCAAGACTATGTTGAAAAAATGATGCACTTGTCTTTTCTAAAAGTGGATGAAGATACATTCTAGAGCCAGAGTGTACCCTCGTAGAATAAGAAGTGACTTTGGTGGTCTGAGTGGCTGCCGTTCGTTGAACATGTAGGAGCCGTGACAGTACTCGATAAAACCCTCAGCTCTGTCACCCGAGAACCAGGGCCATCCTGACTCTAAGATCAGGAAAGCAGGGCTCCGGCGTCAATGCTTCCCACTTCAGGACAACGCCCGCCTCCCTCCCCTGCCCAGTGCACGGTCTCCACTTCGACTGGAGAGTTCTCTTCCCCAAGAACCGACCTTACTCTGGGACACCTAAGCACCCGAGTCTACATGCAGCAAAGGGCCAGTGCGCACCACAGGTCTCAGCAGGCCTTGTGGGCCGAGCCCCAACCTCAGACTTGCCCTTACCTGCCGGAAGATATAGCTTGCCAGGGGCTCGTCCAGGTTGGGGTGATGGTCAATGAAGGCAAAAAGGTCCAGCCCAGAGCCGTGTTTCTCCATCACCAGCTGGAAGAACGCTTGGTTCTCAAACACGTCCAGCACCTGGAGAGAGAAGGAGAGGTCCAGCTCTGCAGGCAGGCCTTGGGGGCAGAGGCTCAGGAGCGGCCATGCAGGCGCCAGATGTCATTGGCCGTGACACTGTGTCCACCTTGATGATATTGGTGTGCTCCACCCTGGAGAGGACTGCAATCTCCAGAGTCACTTTTCCAAGCTTGGGGTCCTCGACCCAGCAGTCGTCCAGAACCTTCTCCTTCTTAATAAACTTCACCACAACCTACAAAGAGAACAGAGGGTAAGGTCAGCTGGTACCACTCCTCCCTGTGCCGCACTCAGCCGCAGCGGCAACAGAGCCACGCCCCAGGTCCTGGGGACGCCCTTACAGCACTAAGGAGGACAAGAAGGTCAGTGCTGACCAGGAACGATGTTCCCAGTGGGAGATCTGGAGTGAAGGTTCTAGACAGGAGCATGCCTGGATGGCAGGAGTGGGACCAAGAGGGAAGTGGCAAGCCAGACGGACAGAGGCAAAGCAGGAAGCAGGGAGGAAGGAGGGTTCCACACTATCTTGTCATCTCTCAGACAAGCCCAAGGCAGTGCTTGGGGCTACCATGAGAGTGCTGAGGTGGAATGTTCCAGAGCCCCCCCACCTCCCCAAGGGCAGAACCCATATCTTGGACATCCCAGGCAAGCGCTGTGAGGGGAAGTGAAGAGACAAGGATGAAGGCCAGAGTTCTGAGGAAGACAAGAAGGAAAGAAGCGAGGGAGTAAAAGAGGAAAGCGAAGATTTCAAAGGGTGGCTTGAGAGGACACAGTAAGACCGTGCCCAGACCTGGAGCCCGAAAACCTGCAGGGAGGCCAGGGCCCCACCGCTCAGGCTGAAAGAGCTGAAGAGAAACTCCAGCCTCAAGGTGCACTACCCAGGGGCCGCTGACTGAGTGTCTCAGAGCCAGGGAGGGAGCGAGCAGGTGTCTGAAAGCCAGCTTCACACACATACTTCACAGGGAGAGGCCAGGGGGCAACAGGGAGCCCCCACCAGGACCCCCCCCCCTGCAGAGAAGGAACTAACACAGCACAAGAAGAAAATACATTTAAGATGCACAGTCTTAGCAAGTATCAGGTATAAATGCAGAAAACAGTCAGCAAATGCAGTCTCTGCAGAGATCGCTCAACTCCAAAACTACTGAAACTTAATTCAAAATACAAAAACAGGCTGCTAGCCTCAAAACCCAAAATAATATTGGCCAGCAATGTACATGAGCCTGAAAAGGAGTCAGAGGAAAAGCTGTACTCCCACAAAGACGTGACGGGAACAAGTAAGTATAACACGCAGGGATGCAAAGTGCCACCCACACAGCCTCCTGGGGAAATCAGTAAGACAGGCACCTCGGCCAACAACAACAAAAATCAGCTCGGGAAAGGAGAAGAAATTGAAGATCAAAAAAATAGAAATTTAACAATACAAGTGCAAGGCTTAGCCACTGAAAACCACAGAACCTGCTGAAAGAAACTACAGACGACATAAGTAGACAGACATTCCATGCCCATAGGTCAGCAGGATTGAGATCGTTAAAATGGCATTTCTACCCCAAATTAATTGCTCCCCACAGAAATCTCAGCTGTCCTTCTCCACCCTCCCACTCCCTAAAACGGACATTACTGGGAAAGGAAAACAAAGTCCGAGGACTCAGGTAACAAGAGAGCGTGGTACTGGCATAGGATCAACTCAAAGGCCAGTGGGATAGGCTTTAGAGTCGGGAAATCATCCCTCACATCTACATGTCCGAAGGCACTGAGACTACTGGAAGGGGGAAGGACAGAAACAGAAACCAGAAGCTAGAAACAGCTCTTCTATAAGGAAATCCAATAAAGCAAACGCTGCTTCTTTGAAAATGACCAATAAAATGGTCACGCTCAAGCCTGACTGATCAGAACAGAAACTCCCAACAGTCATCAATTCTTTACTTGTGGTTTCTGTTATAATCTATTCATAATCACCAAAACTCACACACCTCTAGCGTGAGTGGCTAAGAACCAGCAGTGCAGCGGTACAACGGAAACAGCCCACTGACTGCAGTGTAGACAGGTCCAAGTGCAGACTTCTCAGTGAAATGGGTCAGAACCACAGGCCACCAGCTACAGGACTTCACTTCAAAACCAGGCGGGCAAAGGCAAAACTAGAGGAGTTTCAATCGGTGCTCTCCAGGGCTAGAGGTGGGGCAGAGAGAGACGACAGAGGGCAGGCGGAACACTTGGGGGCAAATGAAATCTTTTCTATCTTGATGGTGACATGGGGCGACCAAATGTACGCAGGCCAAAACCCGAAGATCTGAGAAGAGGGTACAGAAAAGCTCAACCAATAGTTACAAAGGTAAAATAAACATTAAAAGGTGTAGCGCAGTAGATTACAACCGGGAGGCCTGCCGCCTGTGGAGATTCACAGCCTCGGAAACCCCATACACACTCGCTAGGAGTCGGACCCAACTCGATAGCACACAACCACCACCACCTTTGGCATCCTGGTGTGGCGCTGTGGGATAATGCTCTGGACCACAAGATCAGTTTCAACCACAAGGCTGACAGTTCAAATTCAGCAGCCACTCCTCGGAAACCGTATACAGGGTTACTATGAATCAGAATGGATTTAACGGTATGGAACAACATAAATAGGAAACACACTAAAAATAAGTATATGTTCTAATTGTTGTTGTTGAGCTGTTGGGTCAGTTCTGACTCATAGTGACCCGATACAGCGTTTCCAATGAGCGGGCTGGTGGGTCTCAACTGCCAACTTTGTGATTAGCAGTCTAGTCAGGGAGCTGTTGAGCCAGAATCCGGGGGCTCCACAGCTCCCGCTCATGCCCACCCCACAACCACATGAGCTGTTTCCTTAATAACGTGAACTCTGTGAGATGCTGAGCAAAGCATGGCCCAAAGATAGGAGGGGGAGTGCTGAGGGCAAGAGGAGAGGCTGCTGTCGGAGACGATGGAGTGGCCCAGAAGTTTGGAAAAGTTGGACACGGACATCATTAGGCCCCCACCTCAAGGAACCTGCTTGTGCTGATCCTTCTAGAAGAAGTTACTTGTTCAGAAAATACCAAGAAAAATGCGAATCCCAAACAAGGCACCTGCGCTGGATTCGAAGGCTGTTTCACACACATAAGACACTCTATCAAGATTCAATGATCATGAACCTGTAAGAACTGAAAATAAAGCAGGACCAGGACAGAGCAGCTG